ATTAAATGTAAAATGTCATTGAAGAAATTAAATTAAAAAAATAAAAGAGAGAAACACTAATTGAGAGGCAAGACAAGTTTCTGTGGCTGGCATGCATTGCATTATTAGTTCATTCTGTCACACCCTGGATAAAGTCAGCTTCCATGCCTCATTTTTAGCATTGTCAAGGGAATTATTAAGTTGTTCAAAACATTTTTTGAGTTAAATAAGCACATTTTCTAGTATTTGCAAGAATTAAAAAACCAAAAAAAAGATGCCATTTGTTCAACGTCATTTGCAAATAATCACTGTTTCCAAACCAGAGAATATTCAGGGACATTTCAACTCTATCACCCCTGCTGTATCTCACTGGAGCACAGGGAAAGATGGAAATGATGTTGAGCAGAAGTGAATGCAACCATAAACTGGAGCTGCCCAAGACAGAGTATAATGTTCAGACTGCTCTGCGGTAGCTTTCAGAGGGGAATAAAATGGCTGTGAGCAAGGGTACATGGTGATCGCTTTCCAGGGTAGCCCCAAAGCAGCAAATGGCCATTGAAATGTGATTGAACAGAGAAAAAAATCATTCCCAACACCAGTTCACAGTCCAAGGAAATAATGTACAATGGGAAACAAAGTGCTTATTCATAATTGTATCCCTCTAAACAGGACTGTCTAAACTAGTAAAAAAAAATCATTCAGGCATGTTTCCTTACATGTATACAAACATGGGTGGAGTCAAATATGTACTCCCACACCCAATGGGTAGCCAATGTTATGAATTTCTTGCATATTCTCAAATCTTTTCAATGTATCAATGCATTAGTATTTTATGCACATGTGATGACATACAATATAAATTGATATATAGCCTGATCTTTTATACAACCTGTCAACAGTCATCTTTTCATGTCTATACCCATAACTCTACTCACCATTTTCAAAGCTGCATTATATTTAATTGTTTGGATGGGTTATTCCCTAGTTACCCAATTCCTCATTGCTGTACATTCAAGGAGAGTCATAATTTCCACTTAAAACAGGTGTCTTTGTCTTAATTTCTGTGATAAAAAAAGACTGCATATATTAAGTTTTGCTAGCATGGGGCTAGTGAGTTACAGTAGGTTGAAGGCTAAGACTGGAGGGAGAATGCCTAGGTTCAAGGTCTGTCCCTGATGTCTCTAAGTGACCTACTTAGCAAGTTGGAAACTCAAAGTCTTCTTTTGTAAAACAGAGATAACAATATTTTCCACATAATCAGGCCTAAAGGGGAAAAAAATTATGTATTGATCAAAGTGTACAGTCATAGCAAAAAAATTCCGTGCATGTTACCTTTTAAAGTTTTGTTTACAACTGGACAGATGGTTCTCAAGAAAAAATTGCACATGTACAGACACTTTGGTCAATTTATGACACTGATACACTCTTGAACCTTTTCACCAAAAGGGTAAATATAATACCACAAATTCATTTGAATGTCTTTACTAATAAAGCTGCGAAGGGATTTCAATCTCAAATGGAATCGGAGAATGTGAAATGGAGACTCTCATGCAGGCAACTTTAGAGGAATGGGACTTGAGAACTGAGAGACCAACTTACAGAATGTCTGATTTACAGAAGACCAAGACCTTCCTCCTGACCACTGAACACCCACCAAGAATCTCTCCCCAATGAACGTAGTCTCTGGATTCAGGCTGAGCATCCCCCTCCTTGAAACCCTGGCCCATAAATGCAGCCCACTTGCCTGTAACTCGCTGCAGCATTCATTTCTAGAACCACACAATTTCTCTGCTATTGCCAAATAAACCCAACTTCTGGTAACTTCAGCTTGCCTTGGTTTATCTCTGTATTCAGGTTGGCAACAGTCACCAGTTCTGCTTATCCATTATGTATTTGTTTTGTAAACTACTGATAATTAATAATCCAGTTTTCCTTTATTCCAGCCTCTATCATGTCAGTTTTGAAAACTGACAAATTATAGTCTATGGTTCAAATCTCATCTGTTGCTTGTTTTTGTAAATAATGTTATACTGGAACAAAGTCACATCCATTAATTTACATACTGTCTACAACTTCTTTCATGCTGCAATGACAGAGTCAAGTAGTCTCCATAGGCACGGTATGGTGACCCACAGAGCCTAAAGTGATTATTATTGGGCTCTTTACCATTGACCCTTTTACAGTAATTCTTTCTATCCATGACTGCCTCTCCTTTTGAAATGTACATTTGACTATGAATACGGGAATAGCACCTTGATCACTGTATGACTTTTGCCTATGACAGTTTTTGGCACACAGTTGGTGTTACATGAACATTTCAGTATATCACTTTGGTTTTCCCGAGGACCATATAATTTAGAAAAATTTAAATGACTGCAAAAGATCTGAATGTTTAATCGTGAAGGAAGGCTTCTTCTCTTCTTATTTACTGGAAAATTTCTGCACATCCTCAAAGGTCAAATAACACATTACTTGAGAGTATTCTCTAAATATATACAGAAGTCCTGAAACCAACACTGTTGTACCCTGTATACACTACAATTTTTTTCCATATGGTCATGTATAGTACAATGATGTTTTGGTCAACAGTGGGCCACATATATGACAGTGGTCCCAAAAGATTATAAGGAAGCTGAAAAATTTCTTATCAGATGGTGGTGATATAGCCCTCGGAACAGCACTGCACAGTGAATTACTCATATAGTTGTGGTGATGGTGGTATAAATAAGCATACCATGCTGCCAATCATATAAAAGTACAGCACATACAATTACAGTAGTAGGCTATACCACAATGATGTTCACACAATGATAAAATCACCTAATGACGGATTTCTCATAATGTATCCAGTCACTAAGCGTGACTAAAAATGTACATTTGCACTTAAAGGAAGCACTTTGTGGCTTCTCTTTGGCATACCCAAGCCAACATCACCACTCTTGTGCTTTAAGACCATTATTAAGTAAACTAAGGGTACTTGAGCACAAACATTGTGATACCATGATGGTTGATCTGAAAACCAAGAAGGACTACTAAGTGACTGCCATGTGGGGAGCCATGCCCAGTGTGGATACACTGGACAAAGGGATAATTCAGGTCCTGGGTAGAGTGGAGCCATATGATATGAATTTTCATCACACTACACAAAATGGCATGCAATTCAAAATTTGTGAACTGTTTCTTAAATTTTTCATTTCACATTTTCAGACCCTGGTTGACTCTGAATAACAAACTGTAAAAAGTAAGACCACACATACAGGGGGACTACTGTATCCTTCTCAAACAAACAAACAAACTACCTCCTCCTTCATATAGGACAAGACTGGAAAACCTAACATTATAAAAATATAACTATTATAATTAAGAGTTTATGAGTCTGTCCTCCTTCATAGAATATGACCTTTTATAAATCAGAGATTCTATTTTGTATCTCTTTATATATATCCCCACCGTCCAGAAAATAGTGGCGTGGTATTAAATATTCATTAAATGAATGAAGAATATACTCATTGTTAGTCTTAGCCTGGGTCATTTAACTTTCCTCTGCATTAATTTAACCACCAAACATAATATTTTCTAATCAACTTTCAAGGTTAAGAGCTCCATCAGTCCCCCCTGAAGTCATGTGCTTAATTGACCAGACTGCTCTGGGATGACACTAACTCATTCCCTTTTCACGGCAGGCAACCTTTTGCTATACACCCTAGTGAACATTTCTCGGACAAGATCTAGAATTCCTTTTCAGCAGGGTATGTGCTGCTAAAAAGAAGAGCCATGAACCCAATAATTCTACCAGGCTCTAATTCTTTGTACTGTTTAGGGGAGCAAAGAAATGATGTAGTTAAGAAACTTGATCATTGTATTTCTTCTGTTCATCTACTTAAATATTTAATCAAGACCTAGTATGGAACAAGATATGATCCTGGAATATATCTCCTCTCCCCAAAAATGTGTCCTTCCAGAGTGGAGGAGCCAGTCTTGTGAACAGATACTTTTTTTTCCAAGTGATGCATTTGAAAGAGTGTACTATCCAGGGGAAAATCAAAGAAACAAATAAAGAAAGATAGCCAGGCATTATTAGACAAGCCCAAGGCCACAGAGCAAGTTAGTCTCTCTAGAAACAATCTCATCTGTGAAGTGAAACTCCCATAAGACAGTTCTGCCAACTTTAAAACTCCTGCTCATCTATGGTAGAAAATGGGTTCATCAAACTGAAGATAGTGTGGTCCCATCCAAATACTTACTTTATTGTGTTTAACAGAACTTGGGTAATTTCAATGTCAAAACAATTACCTTGTAATTCTCCCACTGGGAATAAATTTGCAATGCATATTTGTAGAAATCAGTGTGTTGTTATCTTTTAGGTGTTTTTCATCCTCAAGTTATTCCTTTTTTTAAAATTTTTACCAAGATATATCCTGCTTTTCAGTAATTCCTTAAATGATGTCCTCATTTGTTGAATGGTGAGGACAAATCCCAGAGCATTCAGATTCCTCAGAGGGGCTCTCATGAAGAAAAATGCCCTCAGCAGTGTCAGAAGTGCATGCAGCTACCTACAAAGCAAAGGTCTGCTAGCTGTATGTTCACCATGGGCCAGCATTTGGCCAGTGAAATTGACAGAACAGTCGCATGCTTGGGATACAACCTGTGCTCCATTTAGACTATTCTGTCTCCCGGGTCTGGGAGACAATTAGAGAAGTAAAGCCTTGTGTACCAGAGATATGCTTATAGTAGATCTTTTAGTGTTTAAACCTACAAAAACATATTGGCTTTGGAATATTGAAATTTTAGACACAACAAACACTTGGACACTCAAAGAACACTAATTAGGCACTTCACTGAAGAAGCTATACAGATTGTTAAGAAAAAAAAACACAAGAAAGATGCTCAAGATTACTTGTCATTAATGAAATACAAATTGCATTAAATACCCAACTTGATTTTGAGGCATGGAGGATGAAGTATGGACTTAATTCTTAATAACCAGTAACATTTGTGACACCTTTTTTTCTTACACCCCAAGGGGGTGTACCATTCCTGGAAGTACTACCATACCAGGTCGATGTGCAGAGTGAATGGAGCAAGCTGCTATTCCATTTCCGAGCTCCAAATATCCATTTAATATAATGCCCTCAGATACAGGACGTATCAGATATTAAACTGACAAGAATAGATACTACACTTGACCTTAGCCAAAAGGCCAAGAAGCGATGTGTCTATGACACCTTATTCTGGAAAATTATATGCAAACTTAAAAACAGAAATGACCTCACTGGGTATTTTATTTTATGTATTTTTATACCATCAGTATGCTACGCAAGAAATAAAAACAGAACGCAGTCCCAGACAAGCTCTCTGGCCTCTGAGCACACACCATGTAAAAGCTCATCAAATTGGTGTTTGAATTCCAGTCCCATCACTTACTAGTATCTAACCATAGCTGAGATATTCCTCATCTATAAAATGGGGAATTGCAAGATTGAATGAGGCATTCTGTACAAAATGCTCAATCCAGGGCCTGGCACATAATAATTATGCTAGCTGATGTTACTGTCATCCCTGTGGTTATAACATCACAGCATGAGCTAGATCAGCATCTCTCTCTGACACAACTAGCACAAGTCCTGGGCCTCTACCTAAAGCATATGCAGGCAAATATCTGATTGGTGGGGGAAAAAGAAAACCCCATTATCTGATGTTGTTACAGCGTAGTCCTGGGAAAGGTGAGATTGATTCCAGTTCAAGGAATCTGTACGTGAAGGAGCCCAGCTGCCTGAGGACATGCAGGATGGGTAGAGGCGAGGAGAAGACAGAGTTTTGCCAGGTTGGCCTCATTCTACAGATTTCATTCGTTTGGTGCTTCTTGGATGAAGGGGTATCAAAAACAAAGGGGAAAATCAGAAAAGAGAAGTGAAGGGTAGCTGGCACAGCACCCTGACCACAGAGATTCTTCTTTATTGAGCTAAGATTAGGTCATTAAACTTTTCATCAAGGCCATATAATTTTGTATCTCTACACCCTCTTTTCAACAGAGGAGATGTTAACTTGCTGTCTTCCATTCCTAAAAGGCTACATGTAAAACACCCTTGAAAAATACATTTGTTTATACAAGTTTTTAAAAGTCAGAAGTAATCAATTTCATAACAGATGTTGCGTGTATATTCAGTGTATCATTGACCAGGTGCAATCAAGCCTTTGCTTGGGACCTTCCTTCCAACTACAGTATCTTTCCTTTCCTGTCACCGCCAAAATCAGACCTGCATTTCAATTCCCCCCAAAATGCCATTTCCCATTGGCATGCCCAGGAAAAAGTAATCACCATTTTCTTTTCCATCCTAGTCTATGTAGTTGCAAAAATTGGTAGTACAATTTAAATATTTGTTTCTAAATCTGACTGCCTGCTTGAACTTTAACTCTAGGACCAAGCTTATAGTTAGTTCTCAAAAGAAGTCTTTGTTTCTTAGAAAATGATGTTATGTCATGTTCTCATGGAAGAAACATGTTTTCCTATGTTATCTCATGTAAATCTCAATTTTTTTTTAATTAGAGACTTTTTTTCTCCAGGTGCAATCTATATTTCTTCTGTTGTTTCTTGAGCCTGTCCTCTGATTTATTTTTTCACACTAAAACAAAATTTAAAGTAGAATGATTTTATTATAATTTCCCTTATTAAATAAATAAAATATTCAGAAGGAGAGAGAGAAAAGGTGGAGGGAGGAAAGGAGAGAGAGAGAGAAGGGAAGAGAAGGGAAGGGAAAGGAAGAAAGGGAGAGGAAATTCAAATAAGGAAAATAATATATAGAAATATTCCTTAATCCAACCACCAAGGCACAAGCATAATTTATATTTTCATGGCGATCTGTCCAGAAGCCCTCCTCCCCCTCCCCACACAGACACACACACAATGCAGACAACTTAGTGCTTGTTTACTGCCATCATTAGGGCTCATATACACAACTTCTAATAAAAGATTTCTTTGCAGTTTGGGTCTCTGAGATATGTCTGCTGATTGAACAAATTTCTGCTACCCATTAACTCCACAGGAGACCCCTCTGTTAAGAGTTGAACTAGTTGCTCCTCAACTTAGTTCATCAGAAATCAAATTGTCAGCTAAATTCTGGCTGCAGGATCCTCACTGCGGTTAATTATGTAAAAGGTAGATAACACACAGCAGGCGTTTCAGGTTTTAGGTGGAATGCACAGCATTGAAGGCAATCTAGAAATATCTTCTTGCCTTATAACCTGAGTCACAATGAACTGCCCAGGACAGGGCATTCACGGGAGGAAGGAAATGGACAATTCAGGGAGCACCCGGGGTGGGAATTTGTGAGGTGTGCAAGTGTGCACTAGGGGAACCCCACAGCAAACTCCTAAGGGAATGAGGGTCTGCCTCCTGCCTTCACAACAGAAAATTACGGCTGAGGGAAGCTAATCAATCTGTAAAGGTCTCCCAAACGTGAAATGATGGGACTCCAACTTCACACCCTGGTCCCTCTGGTTCTCCACGCCATGCTCTGTAAACAACCATTGCACAGTTGCCACAAGAATGTCATATTCGGGCTCTAATAAAGACCCCCAACTAATATCTACATAGATAAATACAAATCTAAACATTAACAAAGACTGAATTATGCTAACAGCTATTTTTTAAAATAATAAAATTAGAAGGAAAAGGAAAACTATGTTTATCTTATTTTTGTAATGGCTAACATGTTAAGTCCCATACAAAATATTTTACATGAACTACCTTTTTTAATTCTCATAGGTTCCCAGAAGCAGTTGGTACTACGTGGGATGAGGCTTCCGTTTGCCCAGATACAGTCGTCACTCTTCACCTTCCCTCACCCTTACGTGTCAACTCACATGGACTTGAGCTCTTTTGTCCACTGGCTTTTGACTGGCTTCAGTCAGTGGGGGAAACTGGCAGGACATCAGATAAAGAAAGGAGGAGAAAAAGGTCAGGGCATTTATGTTCCTGGCTGCATTCCTTCAGGGATCATGTCTGGCCGAATTCCTAGGCAGAATATCTACTTAGCCAGTGCTTTCCACATAGTTCTCTTTGACTACGGGTCCAGATAACCATCACACTCACTTACCCTCCAGGCCCCCAGGTAGGAAAAGAGTGTTGAGGTCACTAGCCCTTGTCAATTCCCTATACTCTCTCCATATCTATATGAATAGTTGCTGATGAAACATACTGCATTCTCAGCCTCCTTTGCAGATAAGGAGCTGATGCTCAGAGAGATGAGATAATTTCTCCAAAGCCACAGAGGTGACAAATGTTAGAACTCAGATTTAAACCCAGGCTTATAGCAAATCACTGCCCACACCAGACTGCTGTCTCATGCTGATTCTCCATCCAGTCTATAAAACCCAAATCTCAACCGTTATTTTCTCTGAAGTCCTTGATAGGCTGATGGCCCACAGAGCCATGAGAGAAATTCAACTCCTGAATCAGTGGGAGGCATTAGTAATATCTTCAGCCACCACAGGAGAAAGTACAGCTTTATGAACCCAGGTCTAGTTAGCATAGGAAAAATGCTATAAAAGTCATCTACAAAATGTACACATGGTAATTCACCTCTAAAATGCACACATTTGTGCCACTAAGTATTTTCAAATATGAGAGAGAATATTTCAAGAAATTTCCATAATTTAACATTCCAATATGAAACTAATGCCCTTGTGGTTCATAAATGGATAATATTATACACAATTAGATGAAAATGACCAAAGTCAAAAGTAGCTCTATAAAATGCACAGTCTGTGAAAAGTCGCTGCCCACTATCCAATCAGTAAAACGAGGTAGTAAGATTAGGTTTGTCTTAGCCTCTAACATTCAAGATTCGTTCCTATCTATGAAAAATAAAGTTTTCCATGGTCCTCTCATGCCAGCCTCTCCATCTTAATCTTCCATCGGCGATTCAATTTTCTACTCTAGGTGAGTCAAGCTAATTGTAGCTTCTCAAATTCATTATTCTTGGTAACTGCACATTTCTCATGGTGCTTCAACTGTCTGGGACTCCTTCCTGCTCCTTGCCACTTCATAAACTCCACTAACCTTAGAGATTCTGATGAAAACTGTCATTGGCATAACAGCACTATTTAATTACACCAAACCTGGAGCTACCATATCACATTGCACATTTTCAATTTACTAGATTTTAAGTGCATGCACATTCAACTGAGCTAGACAGTCATTTTTTTTTCATTTTTGCATCCCTAGAACATAGTACATGGCTCATATTGTTGACTCAATAAATATGTACTGAATACATGTATGAATGAATGAATGTTCATAGCAGCATTTTTTGCAATAGACAAGGGTTGAAACAGGCTAAATGTCCATCAGTAAATGAGTGGATCAAAAAACTGTGGTACATTTACACAATGGAATACTACACCGCATAAATAAAGAAGGAACTCCTACCATTTGTGACAGCATGGATGAAATTGGACAGTATTATGCTAAGTGAAATAGGCCAGGTGGTGAAAGACAAATACCATATGATCTTACCTATAAGGGAACCTAATCAACAAAACAAACAAGTGAGCAAAATAGAAACAGAGATATGGAAACAAGAAACAAACTGACAGTGACCAGAGGGGAGGAGGAAGGGGGAAAATGGGTGAAAGAAAGGGAAGAGTCAAGGAACATGTATAAAGGACACATGGACAAAGACAGTGGTGAGAGCAGAGGACTGCATGCTGGGTGGGGAGAGTAAGGGGTGGGGGGATGAGAACAACCATAACTAAACAACATTTAATAAAAGAAATAAATAAGTTTGAAGCACAGAGAAAGATTTCATCACTTAATTGAAACAGAAACTCTGAGCAACTTTGGATATTGAGTACTAAAGTGAATCTATGAAAGATTTAGAAGTAGTATAGAATGAATTTCTAGGAACCAAGTGCTATAGGATTGTCCTAGGTTAGGAAGACCATTGTGTTTAACCACTCACCTTCATCACTAAATTAATTAACTAAAAATGATATTTTGTGGCATAGTTTTTATTGTTCATGCTAACATCATGCCTAGCACAATAACAGGCCCTTTGACCTATATAATGAGGCTTTTCTTCTTTCTCCATTTTAGTAGGCTGACTAGTGGCCCCAAAAGTATCAGATCTTAATCCCTGGAAATCATAAATGTTTTGAAAAAGACTCTTTGCAGGTGTGATTAAGTAAATTGATTTGAGATGAGATTATCCT